TATTCAACAGCAAATAAATAATTAAATTTGGATTGATGAAAGTTAAGGTATCATTAATAGTATATACTTTGAACATGCAGTGTTGGCATAGTCCAAGATTTAGTAGGTTTCATATGTTCCGATAGCATTAGTTCTGGTTTTTTAAAAATATAATCTTTCATAACTTTTATAATTTTTTTAGGTATATATTTATTCTATGATCCTAGTTGTGGTAATGATCTAGCCAAAATATATCCAGCTTCCTCTTCCTCATCTGGCCAAGTCCATTCATGCCAATTAGAGATTCTATGTATTGTTCCTAACTTGAAATTTGCTTTATTTAGTTTGATTAGTTAATACTTATTACTTTTTTTTTTAAAACAGAAGAAACAAAATATACAAACCCTCACGATTAGGTATGATATTGGCAACGTGGGTTCCTGCCAAGTCTTTTATTGCTTCCTGTATTTCCTCACCTGATTTGATATCATATCCTATTTTTACCTATCGTTTTATAGCGTGTGTTAACTAAGCAAACAACAATAATAGTTTATTAGAATTTGCTAATTACAAAAGTAAAAATTTATTTATACCTGAGCGTGGTGGGAGTCGATTGCTGTTTTTGCTTCGCCTGCTTCAAGAAAAATTCATTTATGTACTAAAATACCATACCATTCCTTCTAACGAGCTATTATTATCATTAATTCCGTATTGTGATAATGTGGTCCATTGTCAGAAAAAATACTAATCCACTTTGGTTTTATTTCAAGTGTTTCTATTACGCCATGAAGTGAAGATGCAGTGAACCAGGCATCTTGTTTACTATCACCGCTCCAGTGGTCAAATGCATGTATGTTAATTTTATCAGTATCAGCATCAGAGTTCTTCGTATACATTAAGACTGAATGGAGTGACCACCCTTATTTACCAAAAAACTCAGCTTTTGTTTCTCGAGATTTTTGACACAAAATTTTCATCTTATAATCAACAATTATTAGTGCACCATCCGAACTAAGCTGTGCAAGATCAGCACTTAGTTGTGCATTAAAGTATGTCTTCTGTGCATGATGAGCTTGAAAATATACAAGTTTAGTTTGATATTCATTTAAAATCTTATGAATATTTGTAGGAGTATTAGTCTTTATTTCATCAAAAAGAATAAACAATTTTTTACAGTTCTTACATATTTCTGGATGAACTAGATTACAATCACTAAATACATACTGTAAACAATGACTTATACAAGGATCATGAACAGTATGACCTAACGGATTAACAGTAAGTTTTATAGCATAATCTTTTCGTAAATATCGTTTTAAAGTTTGAGCTTGTGTACTCAATTTATTCTATATTTAGGTGTTAAGGACACAATTAATATATGTGTACAAATGCATATGCATATATGCAGTATTGTCAAGTTGATCGTGAGGAATCTTCACGATTATTATACAATAATCGTGAAGATTCTTCACAATTAATAACAAAAATTTTTTTAGATAACCACAAATATGAGATTCGAATAGTTGATAAGCAGCACCCAAACACTAACACTGGCTAATCTGAATAGTACTGTGTGAAGGTTTATAATACGACTTATACTTTCAAAATGCTAGTAGTTAAGTATGTAGTAAAACTATACTTAGAGTATATATGTATAATACATATACTCTAAGTATTGTTTTGCTGTGTACAGGACTCGCATAATACTTACAGAGATTATATATAAAAAATAGCTAATATTAACTGAAATTTTGCAGTTAAAAAAATTTTTAGTCAATCAAAGTTTAAGAAAAGTAGATAAAAAGGTCAGAAATTTACATATAACTTCTGTTAGTATTATGCGTGTACTAAATAATACTTTGTACTATGAAGAGATATATATGTGTATATGAACTGTAGACTATACCATATGATCTTAGATATTAGATGAACAAAATTATGAAAATGGCTATATTTATTTGAGATAAGTATATTATATCTGTGATACAACATTGTATATACATATATATATATCGTATATTATATGTATGTGTGTATATATAATATATATTTTTATTTACATACCTGAAGATCAATATTACTAATGTGTAATTTTAAAAGTGTTTTAATTTCTTCAAACATCTCATATCCAAGCTCATTGCAAGTTGAGCATATACCACCAAGATTATCCTTATACACATATCGGCCACCTTGTAAGCGAGTCATAAATGATGTATGTTGCATCCCATTCGGATATTTCTCATGAAATTTTTCCCATAAGGCTTTTTTATGATTTTGAAGATACAGAATTAGTAACCCAGTTGATGTTTCAGTTCTATACGATGACATATTAACATTTGCTTTGTCAGCAAAAAAAAGTTCAAATTGATTTAGTTGTTCTTCTGTTAATTTTGCACGATGAATAATAGGTTTCACAAGAGGTGGTGCACTATGACCATAGGACTTTGCATACTTTTGGGCTTTAGAAATTGTATGATGACCAACCTTTTAATATCAGGTAATTAATTTATAGCTTTACATTAGAGCTTCGATCCTATTCTTTAGAGGCTATTCGGATT